CCTTTTTGTTCTTCCGTATTTCTGTTTTACTATTCCTTGATTAACCTTCCCTTTTTGATTCTTTGCAAGCATTCGAGATTCACTCATTTAGTTTCAGTTTGGATCTCTCATCATAGATCATAATGGTGGCCTCACTGTCCTCAGATGCATAAAACGTTGTTAGCAGAGTGGAGTAAGGAGCAGAAGAATACAAATACAATTGAACAAGTTCTTAAGCAAATGGAGGTGAACCGTTTCGTGTTTTGCTTCTACTCAGAGTTTTATAAATGAAAAGAAAAAGGATCACGGAACTTCAAAAAATCCCACATTAATCGCGGACACTTGAAAACCGCACTTATAAGCTCGAAGTAGTCCTTCTCTACAGTTCGGAGAAATCTTTGCATGTTCCGTATACTGATTTGGATGTATTCCACTGGAAAAGGTTCTGTCCAAATTTTGCACACTACTCATATAGCTTAATTATGGGGCCCATAAACTTAAGCGGATGGTCTTCCCTTAATATAGACACGATTTGAAGATGTCGCATGAAAAGGTTTCTGGGCTTCCAGTTTCTTTTTTCTGAAAATGACCCTTGAAACACTGTGCTTTGATTTTAGCTCTGCATTACTATTATCCTTTTATTACTTTTTACTTTATTCTCTATACTCGTTTAACTCGAAATTTCAGGAAGCATTGTTTGACCAAGCAGCTATCGGCTCTCTAGATGCTAAAGCGCTAACCACTATTTATAAGTTGGTTTTTTGACTTAGCCATTTTGAAACCGTAGTACTGCGATTGAGATTCTGATACGAGCTGACATATGATTTGAAGTTACTAAGTATTCAATAAGTAGCAGCGTTGTAACGGTTCTCCCTAGGAAGTGTTGTTTGATTGGTCCTTACTTCAGGGATTACTACGTAAATCAGCGCATCTTGTCGCCCGTTTTGAGAAATTGATATGCAGCATATGAATTGAATGCCCAATATCCTCGAGAATAGCGTTTATTAATATACTCCTTTGATTTTTATAGAATGAATGTATGGATTAGAGGGGGGAGGGGAGACATTTTTGCCAGTATCACCAGTTTCTCTTGCTCACGAAATGAATATGCAGATACTCCATTAGTTGAATGACCATGATAGAACACCTTGTTATAGATAAGGCAGAACCTTCTGCTGATTGCATAATTTCTCCTTATAGGCGTCTGCAGGGATCGATGGAGCTAAACGCTTTCCCTAAACCGAAAAACCGAACTGCACCTATTTTTTTTCTCAAAACCGTCAAGAATTATTTTCAAACTGCGTTGTACTGAAGAGTACGACGAGTTAACGGACGCAAAGTGTAGTTGCTGACTAATTGCGAGTTAAGATCGGTTGGTGTGTATGGGAAGCACTATACTGCAGCTCTTCCATGTTGTGTTGACCCCCGGAAAGCAAGAGTAGGTATCAGGGAAAGGAGGCGGTAATCTCAACAAAATTGACTTTTTTACCGAACTCTAGGCTTCGTTGCAGAGTTTTGCAGGATACATATACAATCTTTCGCATTCTCCGGTTTTCTAGTACATCTCACGTCTGGATGGAAGCATATTCAGTCAAACAGTTCCATAGTAATGGAACCAAATAATTATGGTTTGAGTGTGTCGAGTGTAGAAGACTCCCTAATAACAAATCCTCCTTTTTGCTTGCGGCCTCTTGGGAAACTGAACGGACAGTTGGCCGTTTAACTCACTTTCTTAGGCATGGGAATTCGAACTGTTTTGTTTATCTTCAAAGTTTTGTGTTCAGCATAGCTTATATCAAAGTCTTCAAATGTGTTCGTTAAGGTTCTCTCATTTTACGACCAATGTCCTTCTGCCGCAGAGAACAAATATCTTATGATTGGACTGAACCTAATGTTCCTGCTGGCTAGCAACCGTCTCTCTGATTTCCACATGGTCAGTACATTTAGTTATCATTTTCTTTTTATGACTACTCAAGCTTCTTTAATGTTTTTATTCCTTGGAGGTTTTGATTTGAACATGTTTCATTAGGGTCCGAGTAAATACCATGTAACATGAGTAACTAACATGTGCATGTGCGACACTACTGCTTACCATATTGTCTGTTGCAGCTGCTCGAATCTGTTCCGCAAAGCATCCAATCTAACAACCCTTACATTTCAACTCCTGTTCGATTGGAACAATCGCTAATGGAAGGAGCGTACAATAAGGCTAGTGAATTACGCTAGGCTATTTTCTAATTCAATAGAACATTCATTTATTCAGGTGGTCCTTA